AAGCGCGTTTCAAAGGACATTCGTGGATTAGTGTTAGAACCTGACCTGAGCTTTTGTTCCAGTTGGTCGGTGGACACAATGTCGCACGAGAATTCAGGTCATCGCGCCTTTTGTTCAGACACATTTTAAGCCTGGCTGAACATTGTTGCATTCTTGGAGATGTTTTCATTATTCAGATTTTTTGTAGCATGTTATGGGGTTATATGAATCGGGTGGAATAATGTTAAGCAATGAAAAAGGAAATTGAAAAATGAGTTTGAGCCGAAGTTGTGTGAATGTGACAGAAGGGGCTTAGCGTCGACTTTATCTTTTCTTCATTTCTTTGCTACTTTTTCATTTCTGTTGAGGATTTGATGCTCTTTTGAAATGCATGAAGAGCAAGGAATAAAGTTTGGCAGGATATCATTTCGTATGTGAGATTTACATTTTGAGAGGTAGAGGGGAACAGAAAGGAATATAGGGAACCTCTCAAGGTCTTGTCATGTGGTCACCTTTCTCTTCACATTTACACCATTGAGAGTTTTTCCAGAGAATACAGAGAAGCACTTTATACATCATTGTTAATCTCAATTTGTTTTTCACTGATGTTAACAAATAAATAATTCTGAATTAATAAAATCTGAAAAATTAGAAAAATTAATTAAAAACCAAACAACGTAGTAAAATGTTTTGAATCAAGAAAATCTTGTTATAAATGTGGCTTATATTACCTGACTATCTGTTTTTTGTTGTGGTTTTACAATTCGTACTGACCATCTAACAAATACATTGAATAATTCTTTTGAGGTTTTGGTAAAAATTAAATCCCAACCAACCATTTTAAAACTTGTAACAGAGCCATATTTTTATGCCTGAATAAGAAATCAATTTCTTCCCACCGCCATCTGCTAGTCATTCCATAATGACGAATTAACCAAATCAACGCGGTTAAACAGTAAACACCATGGGCAGTTCCACCACAACGGTGGGTGTAGTTGTAATATCACATGCTACCAGTGTGAACGCCTGTGTGTAGGTGTATGAAGACGAAGTGTTCGTAATTCTGGCAAACTCGTCACACATTGTTTTCCGACCTCCTGTAGGAAGAGTTCTACTTGCTCTCACACTGGCCCCACCTGTCTTACGGGAAGGATACCACATCGAGTACAACATGATTGACTGTAAACCATGTCAGTTCTGTATTCTCTATCTTACAGGTAGGAATAACAAGTTGGATTAAGTCAAACTGTTTTATTTCATCATGTAGAGTTATTTAGATTCTGATTAAATCTTGTTGTCACTTTATTTAGCCACTGCCATGAGGATGTATATCCTATCACTTACATCCTTTCCTGGTTTTTAGGATTCCTTGTCTAAGGATTGCCTGACCGGACTTGTTTATCTGCATGACATCAAGATTTATGATTCATTAACATGTGGATATTATGAGGAAATGATATTTATGTTTCATCGTATTATTCTTCGTTGTCTATATAAATAGGGACCAATGAGTAGCTAAAATTACTGTAGTATATCAACTTGTCAATTGTTAAAATGTCATAAAAGTTTATGACGCTGTGTGTGAACATTGGGACACTTTGGAAGTAGTTTCAAGGAAAACATCACAAGGGAACTTAATTACATGAGCAAGTAATTTATAAAATTTAATTAATTTATTTATTTACTATTTTTCACAAAGTAAGAATTTGGGCTTCATACATGATACATTTTCACGGTATATATATAGTCATTTTATTAATGTAACATTTTCTCTTTTTATCTGGCATGTTTTTCATTGTAAGGGGTGGTACTTGTATTTTCCACTCACTCACCCCAACACCTCCATCGTTATGACATTTGTCCACTGTTATACAGGGGAGAGTTGTTAATATAAAGGTGACAATCAGTGTCAGAATTCTGTAACCCGCTTTAGAGAACTTTTGACACTATATATCAGTGGTATCTAAAAGCTTTCATAGTGTTCAAACACTTGTCACCAGTTTTGCTAACGTGAACCAAATATACTTTTATCAGGTGTAGTTGTGACTTGTATGGGTGCCGATAACGGTTTGTACTGTCACACTGATCAGAGTTCTCTACAAATGGCTTCTGCTATAATAGCCTGAGTAGATTTAAAATCTGAAATATGTGTCGGTTGGTTCCAAGCACTGGCCACTTCATAGCCATGCTATGGACAATAGGGGCTGAATAGTGCTGAGATTGACATAGGCTTATTGGCTGGGTGGAGTACGGGCAATGCTGATCGGGATTCAAGTATTGGGGTATTTGTTTACAAACAGTGTGAGTTGTTGGGTGGTGCGCCCCTGTAACATCACAGTGGATTCGTGAGAGTTCCCTGACCACTGAATCAGGCAGTACCAGATGTAAGGGGGAGAGGTTGTTGGACTATCAGTGGCTAGCTGCAGGGTTATCAGTTGCTTCGTGTGTCGGTGGGAAGAAGGTACAGCTATCCATGGACTGCTGTTCCTCAAAATGGTGAAACAAAATTGTGTCTCTTTGGATGTACTTCAAACATCACGATTTTTCTCTGGGAAATCAAGACCTGAGAATGGTAAAGTTTTAGAAATACTGATATGTTTTACCCTTATTACAAATAGAAAAACATTTCTATCAAGAAGCACATTATTACTTGAGTGTGCCCTCATTCTTGCTGTCATGAATATATGCTAGTGTTTGAATCCAACACTTGATTCTGGGTTTGTTGGCACCATGCCAGTGGTGAACAACCTGCTTCGTCACTTTGGGTTTTCCTCAAATCAAGCTGTGCTCATACTAAAATACTACGGTCGGGTAGCCTAGTGGTTAAAGCGTCCGCTCGTCATGCAGAAGACCTGGGTTCGATTCCCGACATGGGTACAATGTGTGAAGCCCATTTCTGGTGTCCCCCGCCGTGAACATGCTGGAATATTGCTAAAAGCGGCGTAAAACCATACTCACTCACTCACTCACTCACTCACTCACTCACTCACTCACTCACTCACTCACTCACACACACACACACACACACACACACACACACACACACACACACACACACACACACACTCACTCACTCAGGTTATCTCAACATGCTCACTGCCCTGCCAGACAGAAATGTTTAATGTTCAGAAAGTATACGATCCTCAGCAGTTTGTTATGTATGTACGTGAAAGTGTTTAGGACAGTGAAATCTTAAAAATTTACATGTCAACAAATCATTGGTACTGAGCAATGTCACATTATATACTTGTACGTTTCACAGCAGTAAACGTCTGGATTGACAGGGAGCAGATTAATGAGGTGTAAACAAAAGTCCTGCTTCATGCCTGATGACATTGGGACCACTGCCTCATGTAGTCAACACGTGATTGACTTTTTGTTTATTTTTATTGACCATATTGCATCTGTTGCATGAACACAAAGTCCTGCACAGACTTCTGGGAAGTCAAGATAATATCGATACAGTTGCCAACAGGACAGTTCACACAGTGAAACATGCCTTTCCTGATGGAAGACTCTTACGACAGAGTGGTTTGTTTTGTGAACAGAACACACTGATATGGAACTAACATTCCATGTTGCAGAAAGTTGTAGTTTGTGGTCACTTGGACACCATGATGTGTAATGGATTCATGGATATACGGATGTGTAGAGTTGTGACGATGTCAAGAGTGGTCAGTATTGTGGCTGGACTGGAGGTAGTCATTGCATGACCTGTGTGGCAACTCTATAAGACTGGCCTGGGTTTTATCAAATTACAAATGGCTACTATACTGTTATGTGAACTTAATTCAATGCAAATGTGGCAAAAATATATTGCAAGTTTGCCTGCCTAATGTCAGAATACAAATGACTGCCACAGTAATTTGAACTTATGTCAGTGCTTCCTCCCACACAAACCAGGCCATGGAGGAATAGCTGACAGTGAGGACAACCTTAGCACACTGCATTCATACGGCTTTCATACTGGTGAAGATGACTGAAGCCTTGTTAATGAAACTCTCCTCTATCTGCTGCGTGAACAGGGGTCGGAGACTATAGTGGTCGTGGACTAACTGGGTCGGAGGCTCTCCCATCCAACATGCTGCCTGTGTAGAGGCGGATCATCAAAGATATCTGCTCAAATCAGAAACACGCTCCCAGCATGGCAGGGGCAGCCAAGGTGGCATTTCTCAAGCTATTGACAAGATTAAAAGTGTTAAAACACCTCTCATTGTTTGGAGGTAAAAAAGTCTGCCGCTAAATACCCGTCCCTTTCCGTGCCAGTCTGGCAGAAACTGCTAAGAATGACTTGCTTTGATCAGGAAATTTACACAAGTGTGTCATTTTGTTAGGTTTCAAGAATTTTTAAGAGTATTGCCATTTTAAATATGGAAGGGGCTAAAGGGATACTTAACAATAGATGACTAAGTCGTGTTTAGGGAACAAAGGCTTACGTTTTTTATTCTACATGACTAATACCGTGCTCAGCATCTGCCATAACGCTGTGCCGTTGTAGAGTGTGATTGTTAGGCTGTGGTGAACATGCTCCAAAGCCATCGGCTTGTTATAGGGATTGGGATTTTCCAAAATGGTCCAAAATCTTCTTAAAATATTACTACATTTTTGGATTTTCTCCAGTTTCATGGACGGGTGTTGTCGTGGTATTGTTGGGAGCGTTCGAGTATGGAAGAAGCTCGGCGTGTGCGATGCGTTCTTGCTCATTATCATTCTGCAAGGTGAACAGGGAGATTTGTCCTTTATATTGAAGGTTTTAGATGTTGAAAGGATAGGAATATCCTGGCTGTTTTTACACTGACAACATTGCATGTTTTTATCTCAGGCAGTCTAACTGGCAGTGAATCACTTTCATGTTGGTTTTATAGGGTAGCTTATTCAATGATTCTTACGGAAGCTGAATCCTTTAATTTAATAACCATTTATTTTTTCAGATACTTTGAATTATTATTCCTGTCGCAGAATGTTTGTCATTGAGCATAATTCAAGCTATCTGTTTACGTTTTGTTTATTATGTGTTTCAGAAATCGAGGCAATAGAAGCATGTAAATGGCTGCGAGCGGCCGGCTTCCCCCAGTATGCTCAGATGTATGAAGGTAAGCCACGCTTCACTGATCAAACATCTTTCTCATAAACACTGTGTTTACTGCATGGGACACACTTTGATCCAGCCCTATGGCTGGAAATTAACTTCAATTTGTATTGATAAGCTTACCAGAAGATTAGCGCATGATGATGAAATCTGTCAGTTTGTCTGTTTATCTCTCTGAGTTTCTTTTGTCTGTTTATATCTCTATTTATATCTCAATCCAACTGTCTGTCCATCCATTTGGTTTTCTTCCCACACATCAGTACATCTGCCTATCCATCAAGCCTGTTGTCTTCTGCTGTCTCTCTGATCTTTCCATTGATTCTATTGTCTATCCATTCATATCTGTCTGTCTGTCCATCTCAATCTCTTTTCATCCTTCTGTCTATGTATCCTGTTGTCTATCCATCCATTTGTCTATCCATTTGTATGTCTATTCATTTGTATGTCTATTCATTTGTATGTATCCTTTTGTATGTCTGTCTACCCATGTTGCCTATCTTTCCATCTTGATTGTCCACGCTTTTGTCTATCTATCCTCCCGTCAATCTGTTTCTGTGAAGTTCTCAACATACCTTTGAATGTCAAGAACCCAAGCCTATTTTCAAGCAAAAGCTTTTCTTTTATTTTCAATCTAGTGACAATCTCATTACACCTACAAAAACGTTTGTTACCCAGAATAGCTTCCAACATGACAAAGTAGTCACTTTCCCCCGACACAATAATTGCAACAGAAGCCCTCCACAAACATGAAAGTAGTGTCAGGTATTTCCCTTTCCTCGGCCCCACTGAAGAGCAGTTGACCATTCACAGGCTGTGTACCTCTCACAGATAATAGTTAGCCTACAGGACAAGAAAATGGTTGTATAGACAACACTGGGATCTTGTTTGGGATAAGCTGGGTTTAAGTTTGATGGTGACAAGGGGGAGAAGAAGAGATAGATATCTCAAGTCCGGCATGATCAGGGCGTGTTTCCTTTGATGTTAAGCCGTGTGATTCAAGTGGGGAATAATTCTTCTGGTAATAATCTGTCCAGTAATTCAGATAAAGATGACCCTTCCCAGATTTAAGTCCTTGAGTAGAATTATACTTCAAGGCAGCCATGTGGCCAGTTTTATAGCCCGTGTTTGAATTCTGCTATGACCTGAAAGGACTGACGTTTTCTTTTGAGGTGGAACACTTGACCGAAATTATTAAACATAGGTTGTTTTGTCAAGGTATTTAGGTTATGTACAGATGCAGCAGGATGGCTGATAATTTTCTTCATTTAACATGCTGATATGAAGATGAGCGTATATTTAGAGGTTTTATCAATGCAAGATTAAGACATGAGTGCTAGAGGAAAACAGTTTTAATTGGCTTAATACCAAGTTGTATAAAATATACACTTGTTATTTTGACCTGATGTTAAATTTATTGCAGTGTGTAAAATGAAAAACAAATTAAATAACAGTTAGCAATGACATGAAAACATTGTTTAAAATTAAATCATGAACGATTCAAAATTCAAATTTTTGTGAGGCCTTCATTGTCCATCATAGATTATGACACGAATGTCGGTTACACTGGTATGCCAGTCTGTCACATCAGTCTGTCAGGGGCGTAACTGTCCACATCCTACTGCCTTCATTAGACAAGCCCACAATGGATGCAGGTGAAAATATTGTGTAGGCTTTGAATGTGACAAAGGTAAGGTATTCATGTCATCTTCAATCTTCATCCTTGAAATTTGAATATGATGCAATAACAGTGGGTGGATCGAAGACTCAATTAATCTTGTCGTGGATCGACAAATCAACACTGACTCTGTTTAGTTGTTATTGTTCGTGTAGTTTTGTTTTGTCAGTGTTTTTTCCTGATAATTGACATTTGACATAGTGTGCGGTGGTATGTCAGGGACGTGTGTGGGAGCATCACATCCACGTAGACGACGTATGTGTGTGAGGTTTTCCCGCAGCCTCTGTTGTCAACAGATGGGACTGCAGCATGTGAGGTTGCATCGCATGGTTAAGTTTGTGTGGATTCTGTTGCAGACGGACAGTTTCCAGTGGATATTGCCGTTGTTGAGAGAGATCACGACTTTCTGGACAGAGACTCCATCCAGTCACTCTTCAGGTAAGAAGGAAGGAAAGCCCAAACTGTCATTAGCCACCATTGTGTCTTGGGAATTGTCTTCTTTAATTAATCCTGAATGAAATTTGGGAAAAATTAGCAATTAATTAAATTATGGTTTTGCATTATTCAATGCATAGCCTTAATAATCAAGTGTTGTCTCATCAATCTGTAGATCCAGATCCATTTCTCCAAATGGATCAAATATGTGAGCTCATTTCTGGTGTCCCTTTGACATAGTACTGCTGGAATATTGTTAAAAGCAGCTTAAAACCTGCTTAATCACTATTATTAAGTGAAAGCCATTGTATCTGGACTTCGTCCAGTGAAACTATCCTGTTTAAGAAAGTTCCTGATGTATGAATCCTTGTTCTGTCAACATTTCACACAGTGAGCATTAAGTAGGGTCCCTCTACTATCAAGGTTTCACTGTGTATTGGTAGATATATATTATATGTAGGTTGCTTTGTAATAAGTATTCCCACAGACCACCACATATTGTGCTTAGAATGAAAAATGGTGTAGTTGTCACACAAATGACTGAAATGGATATTTATTATTCAACTATTAGTTCATGTTAATAAACCAGCATGCACAGCTATCAGCTTACACACCAGAATAACAGCCATGCCCAGGGCGCTGTTCCACAAAGTGATCGTGGCTAAGATGATCGTAACTCCCATATTTGACATAGGCTTACGACAGTCGTAGCGCTATGATCGCTTTGTGAAACAGGGCTCAGCGTCCCGTTCCTCAAGGTGATTGTAGCGCTATGACAATCGTAAACCTATGTTAAAGTATGGGAGATCGCCTTAGCACTAAGATCGCTTTGTGGAACGGGGCCCTGGTCTGGGGAGTGAGTGAGGTTGTCCTACCCAAGCAATATTAAAGTACATGATATATGATATATACATGTATATGATAGCTGCTGTCAGTGGTATGATTGGTCAGTGGGGTAGCCTAGTGGTTTGAGTGTTCGCTCATCAAGGCCCAGGTTTGAATCCCAACATTGGTATTATTTATGGTGTCCCACACCTGGAAGATTGGGGTCAAACCATACTCACTTTTACCAGGAAAATGGTAAACGTCCTGCATCGCTTCGGGTTTGAAATTTCTTCCCACATCAACCTCACACACTGTGATTTAACTGAAATACTTTTCAAAGCAGTGTTAAACCCAGATCACTCTCTCTTATGACAAGGATGAAGTACTTGGTAACTATTCTTGCCTGGAGTGAGTGAGTATGGTTTTACACCTCTTTTAGCAATATTCCAGTAATATCATGGCTGGGGACACAAGAAATGGGCTTAAACCATTGTACTCATGTGGGGAATAGAACCTGGGTCTTGATGAGCAAACGCTTTAACCACTAGGCTACCCAACCACCCCTTCTTACCTGGAATCCTCCCTGGAGTGTTAAAAACTTCTTAAAATTTCAGACTCAAATTTGATGTACACCCTACATTAAAAAGGAACTGTAATACTTGATATGTACAGTTGTTGAAATCGTTGAAATTTGATGAAAAGAAAAATACTGATGAAAGGAAGCTGATAATACTAATGTAAGGCGTAGACAGATTGTTCACACATGAAGAATTCGTTTAATTCTTGGCCAATTAGTTTCCAAGTTATTGAACAGGATGTGAAGTCTTAGCAAGGGAGTTGACTTGGCAAACCCACACTGTATTTCAAAGCAATTAATACAGCATGCTTTCAATAAACTTTGAAATACAGCCTACAGTTTACTTTGTCATCGTCAAAACTCCTGAAGACATTGTTCAATATTAAATCAAACTTACTACTCAACTTTTGATAAGGATATTTTGACTGTTCACGTGATGACTGAATGTTACTTGCATATGTTGGTATACAAATAGTATTTGACACTGCATGTAACAGATGCATTTTCAACATTGCTTGATCAATTTAATTAAGCTCAAATATTCAAATCATCCGAACGTGGACAAAGAAAACGTTTTTCAAATCAGAATTCAATCCTCAACCAAAACATCTATTTTATTATGAGCTATAGACATGACACCTTGTACCAGTGCCGAAGATATATAAACTGAACCCAAAACAATACAGATAAATAATATTTTTGGGGATATTGTTGTTGTCGTGAAGACTGAGCAATAGATTCATATAAATATCCCCAATAATACCCACGATCCAGGACTTCTTTTTTTTCAGTACATATGCTTTTGTAGTTTGTAGATTCTTTTCCAGAATGTAGGTTGGTCACATAATATCTCATCTTTTAGTTTAATATTTAATATCCCATGAGAAAAGTAGATGAGGATGGTAGATAAACAGTGAGTGCAGGATTGCGTGGTGAAGCATCCGAGATTCTTCCCCTTGAACAATGCCAGTTATGTGACATAAGTAATGGGGTTGACACCAGGGCGTGGCCCGGTGTGTACTTAGTATTCCAAGCACACAGAGCACATCTCGGTGTATGTATTCTACCGTAGCTGTGAGGATGAACTCTGTGTTACGATTAATTCCGCTTCATAATATGCCATACATCTTTGTGATTATCTTGATAGCTTTCCTCGCTCGAGTTGTTGCTTTCACGGAGATTCACACTTTTGGTTATCAAAGAAATTGTTCTTTTATTTGCATGATCACTGGATTGCACCAGACGTTTTCGGTTGTATCAATTCTTTGGATAGCATTCTGAACAGATTCTTACCCTATATATACCACAACAAGTTAAAGAACATCCACCATTGGAAGTCTGTATGTTGTAATTCCCACGAACCATGACAGAATACCTAAAATCATTTGAAAAAATCAGGTGTCCTTTAACTTATTTTGAGAAGTATTCTTTCTTCTAACACAATAGGCCAAGTTAGAAAATGTGGTGAATACATAGCGAGCATTGATGTTCTTGGCTACGTAAGTGAGTGAGTTAAAATTTAACGGGGCATCGGCATTATATGTATAGCCATATAGCAACGAGAAAAGAACACAGTTTATTTATGAATACAAAGTTATATTTAAAAACAATTTACAACATATTTGGGCATAACAATATCCTTGGCTACATAATGCTCTGAAAACCCTCACGGGAAAGTGGTTAGTAATATACTACTCAAAAGAAGTTAAAAAGACAGTGATTTTTTTTTATATAACTATAGTTAATCTGCATGAATATATACTACCCAAAAGAAGTTAAAGAACCCCTGATTTTTGTTAACATGATTCATGTACTTATTTTAGTAATTGGAATGTTTCAGTTTCTGATATTTGCAGTATTCCAATACTTCCTCACGATTTGCATGGAATGTTGAAAATGTATTTTTATGTCCTTTTAATTTTAAATTCTAAGCATTAATTGAGGATGTAATGGTTGTCCTGTATAGGAAGAAATCTGACATAATGTCATATCACATCCTGTGGAATCCAACCCGTAGATGTATCTGTCATGGCAAGAAAGGATATTAATGAGGACATTATGCTGCCTGAGGACATTAAGATTTAATCCCTTCCGTGGCTATTGTGTAGAACAATCACACCCACACCTAGCACCAGGAACACATATCTATATTTCTGAAGGTTACATATATCTGTATACCAGGTAGGGAGATACACACAATAACACTACAGGGAAAACGGAGCCTGATTCCACCCACTGGGTACATTGTTTCCCATCCTGTCTGGGGATTGGTCTCTTGTGGTTTGATTGACAGGTAAGGGTAGATGGTTAGGAAACAGAAACACTTGGTTCTATTTAATATTGTGTTACAGATATAATAGGAAAATTACCTATGGTGTTTATTGGGTCGTGCGGTATTACGAAGGTAATGGCGCATGCTGGCTGGCCACCCTGCCTGTTGATGTTAACGGTGGTATTGTTCTTGCTGTGGATATAACTGTAGATTACAGTGTTGGGGCAAGGAGTAAAATCTGGATTACTGAACAGCTTAGGGTAAGTTGTGGGTAAGGTGTAGCATCAAGGTGTTGTAGGCTCCTGACTATGTAATCCTGTGAAAACGTGCGGGAATGGTAAATAGTATACTCTTCAAAACAATTTAAAGAACACCCGATTTTTTCATGTGACTATAGTTAACCTGTCATGTTATGACATTTTTCAAATGAACTATTCCTTGGAATTTTGGGGATATTTATCCCCTAAGATCTTCATGTTCCCTAACATTTTTGTTTAGTATATTATCATCAGTCTCAGAATAAGTGGCGCCATTATATGTAAATCCAACACTCAGTATGATTGCTTACTTCCAGGAATTAATTCATCACAAGTTATGTGGTGATTTTATTAAAACAAAATGTCCAAAGATAACAATGACATATAACCTTTGTATGATGACTAATCCTTTTATTTATTATCAACAAGGGAGAAGTTGGAAACATTAAGCCACTGTTAATTAAAAATTTGTGTCATTTTGAATTAATCAAAATAATCATTATAATGAAATTATGTGTAAATGCTGCAAGCAATAGTTCTTGTAAGGAACATGGGAATTGTCCTCCTTATTAGCTTTGACATTTGCATGGATTGTGTCGACACAAGTAACTAGCTCCACAAAATGAGGGCGTATTCAGTAATGAACAAAAGCCCACATTAGATAGGAATATTTTTTTTTAATTTCATTAAGTGAATTTTCCAAAGCTGTTGGACAAGACTGACATCGTTGAGTCTGGTTAATTTGTGCTGGTCGGGTAATAATTACAGATCGTGTATTGATTGTTATACAAACAGCAGGAAATGAATGTCCGTGTGCAAATACGAGCGAATCATCCTCTCCCATCTGTAAATCCGATGACATTCATAATTTCCATTGCCTAGCAACAATTGTTTTAATGATTATAGGACATTTGTATTCAAGTTCATCATGGTGAATGTCAGTCTTGAGAGATTTGTTATTAGGGATTGTGAATAATTTCATAGCTTTAGGACCGGTTTGTTTGGTGTATTTTTAAGGTCTTTGGTGCTGTTGAAGGGCATTTAAGGATAATTGAATATGAGTGATTGAAAGAGATATTTTAAAATATCAAAATTGTGCTTGAAACAAGGATTGCACTAAGATGGTTAGATGATAAGTTGTATCAATTCTGAAATATTATACATGTATTTATGTTTTTAAATGTTTGCAAGTTGGAATCAGCTTTCCTTTTCTCTGTATTCATACAAGCAAGCTGCTTGAAACTGGAGTCCCTGTTTTAAAGGGGTCCAAAATCCACTTGCATGCTTCACAAGATGAAATTATGTTAAGTATAGAATTGAATTCCAAGACATTCACTTGAAAATATTGAAATGGAAACCCCAGTTATGTTGAATACCGGAAGTGTGGTGAAGTAGACACTTGGCAAGAGCCACACAGATTACAGAACAAAATGAACGGATGGAGCAGATCCCCTTGACACAGGCCCATATGACATGAAATTGGCAAAGCAGGTTCACGACATTCTGGATATATCACAAGACAAAGTGTTCAGTTCTGTGCCTTTTCTATACGTTCCTGACTGAGTGTTTACATAACATCCTGGAAGATATCACTTCCAGATGGGATATCAAATCCTTGTGGATATTGGGTTCTTTGGATACTGCGCCTTGATAGGATATTTTTTTAGATAATGCAACAAATTCATCTGTTTTCTGTGGATATGTGATTGAGTGTGCTCTCTTTGGATACTTGCTTCTTTGGATCTCGTAAAATGAATTTTGAAATAAGTTTTACTGAAGCTTTCAGGTATGTTATCACAATGAAGTAATATATGAAACATTGTGTGAATATTGAATATATTATTTGTTGCTAATGATGTTAAGATGAATAGTGCTCATGATGGCTTTCTTCCCTAATTTGTTGTTTGTTTTTTTATTTATAAAAAGGTCCTTGTATGAAAGTATTAGGAATACTGCTAAAAAGTGGGATTTTTAAATAAGCCAATTTTCAATCAAACACATCATTTATGACATTTTCCAAAATTGAGATTGACAAATTTTAGTGTTACTTATACAAAAATCACAGATAAATGGGTGCATAAAATATGCATTATGTATATAAAATATTTATAATTGTATGTTGACAATAATAGCTTTTATCTTAAACTAATGACAAATCCTGTTTCACAATTTTTTGTCAATATTTACCTCCTCTGCAGTCTGTGTCATTTCCCTACCAACTTTCAATACAGATTAGAAACGGAAAGTGCTTGACCTCTCTGTCATGGGATATGTCTCTGTAATGCCCCAGAAACCATGACCAGAAACAAAACACTGATTACTACACACTCACCAGCAAATGGCCATTTGTTCAAGTCAGCCATCACACTGATTAAAGGAAGGTCCAGCAACTTGATCTGGAGAGTATAGATTCATCCCTGTAATTAACGTTTGTTTTGATAATCAGTATCCCCTAATCAAGCATAGTGTTGTCGATAACGAGCAGTCTGCCTTTTGAGTATCGTTAGGAATTCTTTGCCTACTAATGTCCGAGTTGGTCATCAGGGTGCCACTTCGATATTCACTGTGATTGCTTGATCGGAGTGAGTAGTTCACATAAATTAATAGACATTAATTAATTGCTGTGTCAGCACTTATAAGGAGCCTCGGCAAGTTATTCTTCAGAACGGGGAACTCATCCCTAGCGAGTAGTGCTGGCTGCAACATGGTGTATCACGTGTTTAAAAAGTTGGTTTTGTTCCTAGTATACACTTTAATTATTTACTATGGAAACATTGATCAAAAATTTGCTTTTTTAAATTGTAAAATCTAAAATTAAAGCATAAATAGTTATACGGAAACGTTAAATATTTTAATTTTATGAACACATCTTTGTTCTTTTCTAATCCTTCTAATTCTTGCTAAAGTTTCTGAATATCTAAGAACCTATGACAGGATACAGTTCATGCCTCTTGTACATATTTGCTTATTTTGGCTTGAATATGACTACTGATCCTGCAAATGACGGCCCTTCCCTTAATATGTGTACCTTGTAAGGGGGATTATCCATTAAACATACATTCAATATGTTCTTTTGGCTGTTGTCAAATGCATGGATTTATGTTAAAACCACATTGACGTGAGGGGTTAAAAATAAACCGTCTTCATTCCAAGTATTTGCATTAGGGCCGGGATCAGCACTGATTCTTAATAGATACATCTCCAAGTGTATATCAAAGAAACAAACAGGTTTTTCTTTATTATTAAGTAAACATAGGGTTGTGAGAAGATCCCCTGTAGGTCTACTCAGGCCAGTTGTCCCAGAGGATACTTCAAAGGGCTCAACGAGGCATGGACCTGTCTGCTTCACAAGTTTGCATTAACATCAGCTGTTGTTTAGGAATTGAATTGACACCTATGTAATCAACAATAGGTGTTGAAATTGTTAAAACAACAAGTTAACAGTCTAAACAATGAGAGAAGGTTGGGGAAGCCTTGTATCTTTAGCAGGTGTTTGGAGGGTAAGGGGTAGAGTAGAGAGGTTTGGAATACTGTGTTGACACAGGGTGGGTACAGTTTGCCTTGAAATACATGGGATGTCACACACATATATCTACCTGTGCGTCCATCACCAGTCCATCCCACCTGTACATCAGACAGTGAAACACTGGTCACCTATTTGAATCGAGGTATATACTTGGATTTCTCTGGATGTTTTCCCATGGGATGTTGAACTGGAAATCTGGGAGGGTGCATGGATTATAGAGGATATGTGTGTTGAAATTCATGAATATTGATGCTTGTCCACTGGGTCTATTAATGACCACTTGTGGATAAGTGCAATGGTTGTATTCATGTGCAGTTGTATTTTTTATGTAAAAAACATCAATGCCCGAGTATAATCTCAATTATCCAACAGATTCCATATAGAGAATTTTCGAAAATATGGTTCGATATTCTTCTTCAAATTATCTTCTTCTTTTTTCTCCACAGACGTCTCAACACCCTCAACAGGTGTGCTGTTATGAAGATAGATGCTCATCCACATAAAGGGGTAAGTCAATAAGTTTCAATTATGAAATACCCTTTTTTTCAATGGTCCATATTTACTGTCATGAAAATATGCTCGCTGATTTATCATTCCGCATATCAAACTGTATTAGTGCAACAGATGGGTGGAAATGGCAACATCAAATACGTCTACGCTCACATTGTATGGCTACGACAACGATGTAGATCACAGTCTATGTCACCATGCTCCAGGGAGGAAACAAGGGCAAAGAAATTCCTTCAATGAACTGTTAGACTTGGAAAGAGAGTTTCATTGTGGGTGGTGTTAGTGTTTGTTTGCAAACAGAATATCAAGCTTGCCCCGCACGGACAGAGAATTTAGCAGAGTGACCTTCACCCCGCCCACCTCTATGAAGGAGTCTCTCTATGATATTCATCTTCTTGTATAAACACTGGCCCTCTTTAGATTTCTGAAGCCTCCATTATGGGGTCCACCCTACTTGAACAAGTCAAGAGGGGTTTGGTATAATTTCTGATCAGTCTCTTCAAATATAGAATGAGATAAGTGATGCTTATCCTGCCTATGTTCAATCCAGAACTCATGCGTGATAATTGTCCAACCGGTGTTAATGAAATATCGTAAAAGATTTTAAGTTTGATGTTTATTTATTTATAAACATTATCTCTTGCTAGAATATCTGCAGATATGGCTTAAATACTCACACAAATAGTGCACAGATTGTCATTGTATATCACGATATATTCCATATGGATGCCCTGTGTGAATCTAAACAACCCAGAATGTTCCTAAATCCATGATAATCCTCACAATGATAACTGTTCTACTTTCTGTATGTTAATGGTCCCCAATAAGTCACAATATGAGGGGTGAGATGTACCTAAAGAAAGAAATATATCACAATGGTTTATTGCTAGACTTAATCTCTCTACCTCCATGAAATCTGGGGTCGCTGCTGCCCAGCATGTGCAGGAAGATAGATGGACCATTTACACTAACAGTTGGGGACTAAGTCACTGACCCTGTCTTACCCAACTTTATGGATTTATGCAAATTTATTCTTTTATCTATTTCATTTCTTAACTATATTCGTTAAAGGTTGTTTAGTTTAGATACAAACTTTTAAAAACAATTACAAATTTTTGTCTTTTATTTTAAGCATTTTGTTCAGTCATAACTGGCTCTTATTTTTGAATATCTTTGAATAAATGAACCACTTTGTTTTGTGCTCTTAAAATTGATAATAATGCAAAATATCTTTCGGACCCTTAAATTGCAGTTGCAATATAAATTTCTTGTTATTAATTTAAATAAAATTAGGGCAATATTATTTTCATAACCAAGAGTTATGCCCGGAATTTAGATGACGGCCATAAGTTAATATAACATGTTGAAGTGAGATCAGAATTGTAATACGAGAAATATTATTTTCGTAATAAACAGCAATGCTATGGATTGATATGACAACCGTTTGTCACACTGTAACATGTTGAGTCGGGATCAGAATATAGGCAAGGGAATTACAGAGACTGGTTGTGTAGTGTGTGCTTAACCTGTCTGTGACTCTACCCCTCATTTATGCTCTTGCCATCAGGGCCAGTGTGTCCATTACTTACAGCCATTTCCTAACAGCATCAAGCTCAAGTGATTCTGTCGTGGGAAAACATTACACCATCCAGGCCTTTTTTTTCAATTAAAGTGTTAAGAATAAACATTGTTCAGTTATCAAATTAAGTATTTTTGTTCGGCTTCATGTTTGTATTTTTATGAAAGTGCAACAATATTTGAAGTGTTCAGAATTGAAAATAATAATAAATTCATCAAAATAAATATTTTGTGATAGAAACTTATCTGTATGTGAAACTGCCATAGGGAATTGTTTCACAAGTAGGCTTAAATCTCAAATACACTCTTTGTAAGATAATTAACATAAAATTATAAAGATACATACATCAGCAGTAGAGAAAGGGCAACATTGGTTCTAAATATCATCCACACCATGTGGTAGTATAGTTTGGTCGCACAGCTTCAACAACGACTGCGTAAACACCAAGTTGGGTTGGCACAGTGTATTTATCTTCCACAAGTCGTGTGGCAATATGGGACAATGCATTCAGTAACCTCTGGGTAAAGCCACATTGATGATCTCATTGGAAAACAACACATGCCCCACATAAAGCCTGACCACATGTGCAGCACCATGGACTGAGGCAAGGGTAATTCCTCCTGTATGGGGCCCAGGCTTATTTTAGGGTCCTGACATTTAAGATCACTAGATAATGGGAAGCAGTAATTGTGTAAAACAGGAAAATCCAATCATAACTCTCTGATGGAATGTCCATTTAGAGCGGTTGACCGCTTTGCTGGACTTGCAATTAGGACCAGATTATCAGCAAAATAAATGATGTGGCCAGATTCGGGTTGTGGCGATGTAGCCCCATCATAAAAAGATGGCTTGATCAAGGGGAATTATGATGATGAAATGGTGGACTTCGTTCTTGCTCCTTGTATAACACGAGGTGGCATCATTAAAGCTAAATATCTGTATAGTGGGAGGTGGTATCGTGAGGCTGGGAGATGTACATGTCCATGACAGCATGTGCACTGGCAGATATGGCTCAGGGTGCAGTTGTACATAGCGATCTTAGTGCTAAGGTGATCCTAAATCCCATACCTTAACATAGACTTACGACTGTCGTATCGCTTAGGTTATTTTGTACAACAGCACCCCGGTCTGGAGGGTACATATTTTAAAAGCTGGGGTTTTTTTAATTCAATTTTCAACGCAGACCTACTGATGTACTCAATGACTCATGCAAGGTGGGAGATTCGATTACCCATCTTGATGGAATCGTATGAGAATTTTATCAGCTATGTGTACACTTTCAATGATTTTTCGAACAATTACTTGATGCTTCTGCTCCATCGTGCAAGCTAATGAGATTATTATTGTTGCAGCATGAAGATTCAGATGATGAGGATCTGTGTGCACTGAGCAGCCACTGGGAATACCAACAGAACGTTCGCCGGTGGTCCAGGAAAGATCTTGATCTGGATACCACTCCACCGACAGTCAAGTCCAGTCTGAGCCACGATAGCCTTCTTGCTGACCAGGACAGCAGTAGTCCTCCAGACGACAGTCCAGTCCTCGACAGCAAGATGCCACATGTCGGCTACACGCTGTCTGACCGGAAGACATCAACTCCAGAATCGAACGTCATCATCAGTCCACGATTGCGGAGAGCAGCCAGTGAGAGAATCCGAAGTGCCAAGAACCTCTTAAAGAAGATGGAGAGTTTTAAGACCAAGAGGAATAAGAAATTTTCCTCCAAAAACATTGTTGAAATCAGTAGCCCCGTTGTGGCAGACCGTGTACACATGCAAGCAAAGATTCAGCATTTGAACTGTGTCGATATCAGTCCAACATCAGAACTGCCTTCTTCCCATCTTCTGGGCTCTCCAATTAGTGATACCATGTCACCAGCAAGGTCGCCGGTTCCGACAGACGCAGACACCTCCCTCTCAGACAGTTTGTCTCCGGTGCCAGCACACCCTGTGTTGGAGAGATCTGTGAGTGATAGTGAGAAATCTAGAAACTCTACGTTCAGTGAGTACTATACGGCACATTCACAACTACTGCAAAGCTTGGACTCGGAGCAGATTCGGATACACCAAAGCGTCCGACGGAACAATAGTGATACAAATCTTATGGAAATATTCCTCCTACCTCATGACCACAAACCTGGAAGTTTTCCCAAACGCCTTCAAAATGGATATATCGACACTTGCGAAGGTCAGGGAATCAACTATCGTACAGGGAGTTTCAGTCTTGGTCGGGATGGAAGTTACACACAAGATCCATTTGTGGACCACAATGGACATAAGCGTCGTGGGTCACATGACCCAAGTATGCTCAATCGAATAAGCATGTATGATAATATGGGATCCCCTGTGCGCAGTGCGAGTGAAAGGTACGGACAACGTGTCCACTTCCGGGACGGTGTGAGGTCCTTACAAAGAGATCCCTTAAAACTAAAAACGCCAGAAGAACCAGAAACCCCAGATGAAGAGTTGTCTTCAGCCAAGGAGGAGCTGGACCATATCCTTCATGAGCTGTTCGAGAACATAAATGGCCTGAATGAGGCTATCTATGGCAAAACCAATAGTAAGTACTTTGTCCGATTATTTTATTTGTTTGAAAACCTTTTTTGTTATTTTTTCTTCAACATTTCAGCAACATTTTAAAAATTTACCTCTGTGAGAGATACTAACTTCTTACAAATTAAATCTTTTGAGAAATATAGTGTTTAATGATCTCATAATCCACTGACTTTTTTACACTGCCAGTACATTACCAGAAACTATATTATCAAATTATGAGTTGAAATTACAATTCAAAGCAGACCAGTTTAGCAGTTATGATAATACCAAACACTCAACAGTTGGTTAACTGATGTTGATGTTTGCCTCCAAGAATGTTAATGTGGTTAGATAAGCAGTGCTCACATATCATGAAGGACAAATGTTTCTCCAGGTCGGCCCAGCAAGATTAAGTAGGATTTGGATAAGTCTCTATGACACACATGGTCAGTTGGTGGCCATTGTGCGAGACTACATTTAGATTCCTGCCCAGGTTAATGGGTGTCAGGGAGGCCTGGAGTACACACACTGACATATATCTACCACTTACTCCACCTTGCATGGGGCACCCAGGAAACCTACATAGGCTGTAGTGGGCAGTCTGTGTGATGGGTAATGTGTTTCACAGAAAATGTAAGAAATTATAAAATTGAACAAGTATACTACTCAACCTTTGATAGGGATTTTTTTTATCTATTCAATGACACACAAAACTGATTCTCATAATATGTCAAGTGTATGTTTAAGCATATCTGACACTTGATTATCCTTATCCAAACTTGAGTGGTATATTTCAAAGCAGATTATGAAGAATCAAGAATTTTTATTGAACACCCTCGTAGGGCAGGGTACAAACTACATTCTACATATGGGAATAAATATAACTATAAATATACAAAGTGTACATTATATATATAGATATAACATAATATTTTCATTCATATTGACTATGTGATAAAAGTAAATGTATCAATAATGGTCACTTTTAAGATTTGATATTTTTTGCCGATCCTTACTTTTTTTGGAGCTAGATGTTTTTAGTAAAGGAGTCATGGGCGCCACAAACCACTGCCATTGCATCCCACCATGCCAGTTACCTTGCCTGTTAGCACCATACCTGTTTGTGGTTCCACAACAGCGGAGCCTACATGGTTGCCTCTTCCCTCATTAGGCTTGACAGAATAGTATTCCACTCAGTATAAACCCCTACCACTCACTCACCACCAGTTGATCAGGGTAGTTTCTGTCTCCCCCTCCCCCACCCTTCATCCGATGGGGACCCCTGCAGGGCCGTGTACCACATAAAGGTTAAATGCTCTTCAGATGGGTAGTCAAAATGGCACACAAATGTTTCTGCTTGGTTTGTAAATGGAAACTGACATGGTGGCTGTAGATTGACAACAACACTTGGGAATAAGTGGCCTGAAATACATACATGCCTGCTGATACACACAGCACAGCAGGTGCTTGTTTTTAGTGGGTATCACAGGGCAACAAGAGACTACTATACTGGCCATGGTGTAGAGATGTCTGTATGTGTGTTGTTTTGAAACACAAGAGTTGATTTATACTCTCAAAGAAACATTATAAACAGTTGTTTGTTTAGATGTGTATTTTGGGCATGGATGGCCCAGTCATCGGAGGCACCACAATTTGCTGTGCTGAGTTGCATCCCTTTGGCATATGATCATGTGTTCGAATCCAAGACAGGCATCCAACATTAAACTGACATGCCATGATGAGATGGACCCGTGAAGATCCGGGGTAGAGTAGGTCTTCAGCAACCCATGCTTGCCATAAAAGGCGACTATTCTTGTCGTAAAAGGCGACTAACAGGATCGGGTGGTCAGACTGGCTGACTTGGTTGATGCATGTCATCGATCCCAATTGCGTGGATCGATGCTCATGATATTAATCACTGGATTGTCTGGTCCAGACTCGATTATTTACAGACCGCCATCATATAGCTGGAATATTGCCGAGTGCGGCAGAAACAACAAACCAACCAACAAATCATGATGGAATGACTGGAATACTGTTGAATGCTGCATTTAACCCAACTTGGTAAATACAGCAGGGTTATAGACTCCTATACATGAGTACGTCAACATTAATCTTCCTGCACAACACACACATTTATTAAACTAAACAAGTGCTTGTTTAGCTAGAGAGGTTACTTGTAATAGTTGATATTCTAAAGGGGGCACCTGTTCTCTTCACTGGGACAAATAAAAAAGTAGTGTGAAGCTATTGCGATTTCTGTGCTGCAAAGGAGGCACACTAGCCATGACATGTGCCCATATGTAGATTGACACAGGGATTATACTCTGTACCTTCAGGATTGGTAAAGGAACTCATTAGCATCTGTTGAATAGACAGTATAGGTGCAGCCTCATTTACTGTTGTATTTTCCTGCCTCTCAAATAGAATTGCTTGTTCCATTACCTGTAGTCACTGCTCACAGAGGAGCCCTACATATTGTACCTATATAATACCCTTCAATGTAGACTTCCGAGCCAGGCAATTATATGGTCTGGCTTCCACACAAGCGTGTAAACTGGGCGTACTCCTGTCAGTACGATACTCATGGCTAAATAGTGGATGTAATTGTAACACTGAACCTGGGTTGGGTTCAAGTTTATGTTTTCTTTTAAATGTCAACATTTGAACTATTCCCATGAAATTTCAGAAATAAGTGTAGTTAGCAAGAGGGATTTTCTCACAAGATTTTTGTGGTTGTGGTTACCTGCTGAATTGACTTGAAAGGAAACTCATGACCCGTGGCATCATCGGTAGTTACACCTGTAATGCCGCTGAGATAATTACAGGTGTGTGTTGTGTTAGTTATGATGCTGGAATATCTACCTTTGTGTATATTCCCTTAGTCATTCGAGAAAGTTGAATTTTAAGTAATTTCATCCGTTTTATGTTATGTGAACACGTTTCATTTATTTTTTATGAAATGTGCAGATGTGAAATATTGTGGAAAAGATACATACAAAATCCATTTTTCAGGAAATAGTTGGCTAGTGCCCAAAAATATTGGTTTATGGAAACATGAATGCAAACAAAATTGGCCATAAATGCATACAAAATTGGCCAATGAAATGCCGCAGAACCAATTGTAATTCATTAATTTGCTTCATGTTAAGAATCCTCAAGGGAAACTGTGACATCTGAATCACACAAACACATCTAGATGTGAGTAATGATGTAGGTCAATACAAACATTGGAAGGTAAACGTGTCTGCGTACCTGTGAGGTGAGTGACAGGTGAGAGGCTGATACGGACGTCTGTCAGTCCCTGTAGACCAACTTCTGTCCGCCTCCAGGTATCCTTTACCTACATGCTACACACGTTACTCCCTCTAGTCCGTGCATGCCATGCAACGTATGTCTCCCAGAAGGCACTGAGGTCAAACTGTCAATCTAAACTAGATTTTGTTGGTTAAATTTCAATCCTAATTCATGTTTTCATTGTGAAGATTGAGTGCAGTTATTATTCAAGTGAAAACATGGAGGAGCACCCATGTTCTGTCAGGGTCAGATGGTGGGGGCTTCTTCCTAGTTCTGACATCGGATGTCAAACCTTCATGTACAACCGGTGCAAGATTGTCATGTAGCTGCAACTTCAGTGAAACTGAAAAGCTTTGAGATAGCAGAGGTTCTGTTCACAAGAGCAGACTGAAATGGTGATTGGGTGGTTGTGATGTGTGACGTGGCTGGTTGTGATGTGTGACGTGTCTGGTTGGATGTCATTAGTTCTTCTCAACCACTAGTTTGTTGGAAGACAGGATGATATAACTGTAACATTTCAGACTGCAATAATTCCCACATTAACACTCGGGTTTTCGCAATGAAACAGTATTTTTTCCCAATGAAACAGTATTTTTTTAAACATTACTGGCACTACATCTGCATGGCATAACATTAATGCTAATCCGCAGGAGCTTCAGAGCTATTTCACTGCATCTGGTTTTGACAGGTTCAGGTCAGTTTCGAACCTATGATTGTGCATTTTGTTAAACCTATGTGACCTTGACTGATGTTGTAGATGTTGTAGAGCTGTTATTGGTTACAAATGACGTCGTATAAACATGCACCTAGAAAACCCAGGGTATTAACATGGGGACTTTGTGTTGCAGATGAGGAGGAGAAAGATTCATCATTCCTGGAGGTGGAGAGGGCGCCGTCACTGCCGATGGAGGAAGATGTGAGTGTGGACCACGAAGAAGAAGAGGTGACACACGACAATGACATCAGCAGTCAACTGTCCTCGTCACAGGACGCCAGCGATCATGATGACATTCCAGCTGAGGAGTTACCCCCTGATGACTCCCTTGACAACATTGAGGGCCGTGAACGCCGTGATTCCGGTGTGGGGTCATCTTTAACCAGAGCACCAAGGTTTGTTTATTTATCTTATAAGACGGCACACAAAGGTAGGAATTACTCCCAGTAAGAAATGGGTTACAAACGAATGTGACCACATTGGTGACCTGATTGGTGACCAGATTGGTGACCATGAAGTAGGCTAGGTTGGGGTTCCATTATTGAAGAAAGGTTTGGTTTGGTTTGTTGTTTAACGCCACACTCAGCAATATTCCAGCTATATGACGGGGGTCTGTAAATCAAGTCTGGGCCAGACAATCCAGTGATTGACATCATGAGCATCAATCCACGCAATTGGGAACGATGACATACATCAACCAAGTCAGCGAGTCTAACCACCCGATCACATTAGTCACCCCTACGACAAGCATAGTCGCCTTTTACGGCAAGAATGGGTTGGTTGCTAAGGTTGAAAATATTGCATGTGACTATTACATATCTGTATGGTAATATAGTCTTAATTGCATTTTTATTTTATGACACATACCATAGCTGAATAATCCGGGGTGACCACAGGGTTCCGATTGTTTAATCACTTCCATTTTGTTTGCTTGTCTCGATACAAATATTTATTCAAATTATTTCTTCTGTGATTTTTAGTGATAAAAAGAGGAAGAGGATTCGCTGGCACAGTTTCCAAAAGTGCCACCGACCAAGTCTCAACAGCCGAGACTTGCAGATCGCGGCACTCTCTGTCCGCCAACTCATGGTGCTACGTAAACTATCCCTCCTCAAGCTGACAGCAATCATGGAAAAATACTCTCCGACCAACAGGACCGGATGGAACTGGATGGTTCCGAGGTTCATGAAGCGCAACAAGACGCCAGACTACAGTGACAAGAACGTGTTCGGTCTGCCGCTTCACATGACGCTGCAGCGCAGTGGCCAACCTCTTCCACAGTGCATCCTCTACGCTATGCGGTACCTCCGCAAAGCTGCCGGGGACGCACTGGGCATCTTTCGCAAATCTGGAGTCCGTTCACGCATCCAGAAATTGAGGAATGACCTTGAGGCTCATCCTGGTGAGAATTTCTCTTTACCACCAAGATATTAAGATTGGAGGGAAATTATTTATGTTTATCACACTACCAATTATTAACAATTATCCAATGTCTGCAATTCCCCAGTATATTCATTTTATGTTTGTCTCTTCTCAGAAATCATGGACTTTGAGGAGATGCAGGCGTATGATGTAGCAGACGTACTGAAGCAGTATTTTCGAGAGCTGCCCGAGTGTCTGCTCACAAACAAACTGTCTGAGACCTTCATCAGTATCTTTACTCGTAAGTATTGTCGCAATATGTGAAACATTGAAATGACTATAAACCATAAAGGCCTATTATAACATTTTAAAAGAAATTTAAATTTGGAAATCACTAGTTATATTCGCACCAAAAGAAGATCAAAATAGCTATACAACTAAGTTAGATATTTAATAGTTAGACATGAATTTTATAAATGTTTACCAAATCATGCACCTGTTTTCAGACGTACCAAGTGCTCTGCGTATTGAAGCAATCCAGGCAGCCATTGTTCTACTCCCCGATGAGAACCGGGAAGTGCTGCAATCGCTGCTGCTCTTCCTCAGTGATATCTCCCAGCATGCTGATGAGCATCAGGTAGGTCCAAGGGAGATAACTCCAAACACACCCTTCAATGTACCACTACATTCTTCTTCAGCCATTTTGTTTTGCCATGATGTTTCAAAATATTCATTCTTCAAATGAGTTCTTTAATTGCTTTGCTTCAATAATAAGTGAATTTGGTGTTTATGAAATTTTGTCTTCCCTCCCCAGATGACAGCCAGCAACCTAGCTGTATGTTTCGCCCCATCCTTGTTCAATATGTGTGGAATCCGAAATAACCAGACAGCAAGTCCGAAGCGCAACCGCAAGAACCTGGGTGCGCCCGAGGCACGAGACCTGTTGGAGCAGAAAGCCGCACACGAGTGTCTCACAGCCATGGTCCTCGAATGCAAGAAAATATTCATGGTGAGCCTGCAGCAGAGAGAACGTCAAATCAGCACTTTTTTACGGTTTCTTTCAATTTGCTAAAAGAAATCATTAATCCTCGATCTGTAAATATGTAGACAAATTATGATCTATCTTCTCAAGTTTTCCACTTACAATTGAAGTCAACAATTTCTGTGTTGCAGATTGCACCCTGGGTGTTCAGCAAGTTGCATCTGTCGTGCGTGGAGGGGGCCGACCCCATGCCTTTCGAGGAGTTCTACAAGCATCCACACCATGAGGGCCCCGACTTCAAATCCTATGGCGAGGAGTGCATACAGACAATACTCAAGGTGAGATACTCTAAAGACTAATTCATATACTGCATGGTTTTTCTGAAAAACATATAAATATATATTTTAATATACTGTCTAATTTACCCTTTGCAGTTGTTCATGTATTGGTGAAAGAATGGGAAAACCATTCCCACACCGCCTGTATAATTAAAGTAAACAAGATCAATTATATAAATTTTTAATTTTAGAAAAGAAATGTTAATAAATCCAAAATTATATCCGTTCAGGAATCTCATGACAAGAACCGAGGCTGGGTCCTGTTCCTGTCTCAGAACGGCACGGAAGTCTACTATAGGAAGCCCACAGACAGCAACCCACTGCGTGAGTGGAAGTGTACCGTGGAGATCGAGGCGCCGCCGGTAGAAGTCCTCAACAGGGTGCTACACGAAAGGTTAGCGGAAGAAGAAAATTTAAAATCTTTTCTCTTTTTCTAATTTTGTTAATAATGTAACCTTAATGCCTCTTCGGTGATATATAAATTAATTCATTGGTGTATATGACAGTATAACCCCCAGTGTGCATAGTTCTGTATGTATGTCGGTATAACCCCCAGTGTGCATAGTTCTGTATGTATGTCCTATCTGCTTGCAGGCATGTCTGGGATGAGGACCTGCTCAACTGGTCGGTGGTGGAGACGCTTGACAAGCATGCTGACGTCTTTCAGTATGTGTGTAACAGCATGGCGCCACATCCAACCCGCCATTACACTCTGCTCAGGTGAGATATGATCACTTATACCATAATTGGTTAATAAGGATTAAGAGATGCTAATCTGAGGACTCTTTAACTGGTTTATGAGGACCTCAAGAAGAAGGTATTCTAAGGCCTACATTAATTTCTCAAGTGAACAAATAATTCTGAGGCATACACAAATTCCTCATGCATGTTGTCCCCTCATATAGACCAGGAATTTCATTTGGCTACATTTAAAAGGGAGAAAACTCCTGCCAACTCCACTATTAAGCTGAAGAGTTGTATTAAGTATGTAAATATTTTGTAAAAATGTTCAAAATATTAATTTATTAATTTCCTCTTTCTGCAATTGCAAACATACGATTTTCTTTCCCTCAGATATTGGAGGACGGACTTGGTGAAGGGAGCATGTGCGTTGGTGTCCACATCAGTGGAGCACCCAGATGTGCATGAGATCCAGGGCGTGCAGGCAGTAGAGCTCATGTCTCACTTCCTGATTGAGCCATGCGGGTCTGGGCGAGCCAGACTCATCCACATCACCCGCTCCGACACGAGGTCAGTACACAGGCAGTTGCTGCAACAGTAGTTCAAAAAGCTCCACATTAAGGAGTGCTGGGGTAGCCCAGATTTGGATCATTATGGCTAAGAACCTGGTTTGGTTCCCCCACTTGTGATAAAGAAAGTTGGATGTATAATTCCTCTACAGTCAAACGGGAGTAAATATGGCCATGAGGACTTAATTAACTTTATACCACAGAAATGCTTATTCATTGAAGAACATTGTGTAACATGTTAAAAATTTGTGTTGCAGGGGCCGATGTCCAGAGTGGTACAACAAGTCATTTGGCTACATCTGCTGCAACTCCATGGAGCGTGTCCGAGACTCCTTCCGTCAGCAGACCGACCTCCCCGAGACAAATGTCTAGTGCTTTATTGAACCATGACAAGGGCAGCCATTGCCTAGCACAGTGTGTGCCGATATTATGGATAGATGACTGAGGATGAAGCTCCTTGCTTGAAATATACCGTAGATGGAGTAGCAGGAAGCCTAGCTGATATTACAGATGTCTCGTGTTCACGTCTGCTTGTGATGTCTGTTGAATGAGTAGCGTGCACTGTGACTGCTCCACACAGGGCTGTGATGAGACTTGTGCCTTCTGTAATCTTGGGGAAGTTGATATTGTGAGTGTGAAGACGATAATTCAGCTGTTCAAGTTCTGTAGCGAGGACAAATTGTGTTCACTGATCAACTTCATGGATTACAAGGGACGGGTTGGTTTGCTACCAATCCTGCGGCTGAAACCTTGCGAGCATGGACTAAGTCAGTTGTTGAATAGTGCTTCTGGATATTACTGAGATTGATGCTTGAGTGATGCTAGTTCATCTGTGTAGGTAAAGACTAACTGCATCCTATGGGTTGCCTAGGCAACAAAAGAGTTGCCTTGACAACAGGTGCATATGGACTAGATGATAAAATGGCAGCTAGATGCTTTTCGGAGAGAATGTATTATTCAGGGCCCTCCAGTTAAATAGTGTGCCATGATTGAAGTAAGGGGCACTGAGTCTATGTCGTGATACACAGAGCATAACTATAAAGCATAAATACATTGTACAATTTTGTTGATAACATACACATGTTACTGCTGTACATATTTGTTACAAAGTATGGAAGACTGAGGAGGACAACATCACAAGAATTGTGTTCTATTTATATATTAAGTAATGGGCAATTATGTGTTCCATACATTGTGATTAGCTGGTGTTACACTGTCACAAGGGAAGGTTAAAGAATGTTTTTGTCCAGTTCTGCATCAGCTCTGACTGTATTCTTCCGGCTGTAGGACCTGGGCAGGAGGTGTGTATGTATATTTTGGCAGCAATGGAGATCCATACTATGTTGGCTTGGGACTCCATACATTAGAGTAGAACATTTCAGTTGGTGCTTTGGAGAAGCTGAAACAAAGAGATTTTCTGTACCTACCTCATTAATTTGTTAAGAATGGTGAAAGGTTTATTCAGTAATTAATTAGTGTCCAAAATCAACTTGGATTTTGCATCAAGCTGGACGATTGAGTGCTAATGTTGAAATTAATTTGTTATTCAAGGGGATGAGTAATCAATACCTGCCAAGGCATTTGAAATATCACACTTTCTGAGTTATAGTGCTATGTGGATATATCCATTGCCTTCAGTTCTAGTCGCAGATGATGTAGTAACATACATACAAGATTGTACACACAAGTATGATATAAGATTGTACACGCAGATATGAATGCAATCGCCGTGCAGCATTGTTGGAAACATTAACCCATAATCTTTGTGAATCTTCTTTCAATTCAGGTATTATTCAGCCGAAAAGTACACTCACTTCTTCAGCTTTAACTTTTCACTCAACTCAACTATTCACTATCTCTGTGATATCATCATTTGAGATGAGTGATATCACCTACTTCTCCATGTGATAACAGTGTAATGTGTTCTACATTGTAGCAGTGAGACCATGTAATACTAAGAGACATAATAGTGTACAATACTGATATATAGACTGCTTGTCAGTGTACCAACAAGCTACAGGCCAAAGTTGTACATTTCTAGATGCCATGATACATGCATTTAACACCACTGTACCTCTCATTCACCTGTATAATAGCACCATCGTCTGTTTATGTGTACATGTCATTGATCATAACTCCTATATGCTGCCATTCATGGCCATGGTAAATAAATATGACAAATAAAAAGACTTGTTTTGTTTCTGTTGACTGCTGCATGTGTGAGCCAAGATACTCCCAGGTATAAATATTCTGGAGCAAAAATAATTTGAATGTAGAAATTGACTGAGGGAAGATAATAGTCATCATCCTGGGTATATTGTTCCACAGGAACCAATACTGCTGGTATATCTATTCCACTCGAACAAATGTTCAGGGGCAAACATATTTACTCTCACACTAGCCCAATAACTGTCATAACTAATTTATTTATCTGATAACTTTGATCATCAGCCTAGTTAGAAAAATTCATATGTAGAAATTGACCGAGGGAACAGGTATATTGTTCCACATGTTAAATGTTTGGCGTGGATACAGAGAATATGACATGAAGCCATAGTCGGTAATTATTGAACTGACATAGTGTCCTTGATTAACATATAGCATAACATCTCTCCACAACAACTATCTGCTAACAACAGGTGTTAGATAACATGAACATCATACAAAACACCACAAACAGCTGACAACAGGAGGTAGATAGCATGAACATTAGGGTTGGGATGATACACCTACTGTGCGATCCGATACGTATCATGATACTTGCATGTGCACTTTTCTGTGGTGCGTGAGCCACATTTTCACTGCCTATTTTCACTAGTAATTAGTGTTTGGTGTAACATTTTATGAAGAATACATTTAAGGTAAGAATCGATCCTTTTTACTTTGTGTGCTATTGTGATTGATACTTGTATCGAAGAAAAAAACCGTGATCAACCGATGCATTGGTGTATCGTCACACTACCAATGAACATCTATACACAACACAACTAACAGCTCACAACAGAAGGAAGATAGCATGAACATCTTTACACAACACAACTAACAGCTCACAACAGGTGGTTGATAGCATGAACATCTATACACAACACAACTTACGGCTCACAACAGGTGGTTGATAGCATGAACATCTATACACAACTAACATCTCCCAACAGGAGGAAGATAGCATGAACATCTATACACAACACAACTTACGGCTCACAACAGGTGGTTGATAGCATGAACATCTATACACAACACAACTAACAGCTCACAACAGGAGGAAGATAGCATGAATATCATACACAACTAACAGTTCCCAACAGGTGGTAGATAGCATGAACATCATACACAACTAACATCTCCCAACAGGAGGAAGATAGCATGAACATCTATACACAACACAACTTACGGCTCACAACAGGAGAAAGATAGCATGAACATCTATACACAACATAACTAACAGCTCCAAACAGGAGGTAGACAGCATGAACATCATACACAACCAACAGCTCCCAACAGGAGGAAGGTAGCATGAACATCTATACACAACACAACTAGCAGCTCACAACAGGAGTTAGATAGCATGACCACCACACACAACACAACTAACAGCTCACAACAGGAGGTAGATAGCATGGACATCTATACACAACACAACTAACAGCCCTGAACAGGAGGTAGATAGCATGAACATCATACACAACACAACTAACAGCTCACAACAGGTGGTAGATAGCACAAACATCTATACACAACACAACTAACAGCTCACAACAGGAGGGAGATAGCATGAACATCATACACAATACAACTAACAGCTCACAACAGGTGGTAGATAGCATGAACATCTATACACAACCCAACTAACAGCTCACAACAGGTGGTAGATAGCATGAACATCATACACAACACAACTAACAGCTCACAACAGGTGGTTGATAGCATGAACATGATACACAACTCAACTAACAGCTCACAACAGGAGGAAGATAGCATGAACATCTGTGCACAACACAACTAACAGCTCACAACAGGAGGAAGATAGCACAAACATCTATACACAACACAACTAACAGCTCACAACAGGAGGGAGATAGCATGAACATCATACACAATACAACTAACAGCTCACAACAGGTGGTAGATAGCATGAACATCTATACACAACCCAACTAACAGCTCACAACAGGTGGTAGATAGCATGAACATCATACACAACACAACTAACAGCTCACAACAGGTGGTTGATAGCATGAACATGATACACAACTCAACTAACAGCTCACAACAGGAGGGAGATAGCATGAACATACACAACTAACAGCTCACAACAGGAGGGAGATAGCATGAACATCTGCACAACACAACTAACAGCTCCCAACAGGTGGTAGATAGCATGAACATCATACACAACACAACTAACAGCTCACAACAGGTGGTTGATAGCATGAACATGATACACAACTCAACTAACAGCTCACAACAGGAGGAAGATAGCATGAACATCTGTGCACAACACAACTAACAGCTCACAACAGGAGGAAGATAGCACAAACATCTATACACAACACAACTAACAGCTCACAACAGGAGGGAGATAGCATGAACATCATACACAATACAACTAACAGCTCACAACAGGTGGTAGATAGCATGAACATCTATACACAACCCAACTAACAGCTCACAACAGGTGGTAGATAGCATGAACATCATACACAACACAACTAACAGCTCACAACAGGTGGTTGATAGCATGAACATGATACACAACTCAACTAACAGCTCACAACAGGAGGGAGATAGCATGAACATACACAACTAACAGCTCACAACAGGAGGGAGATAGCATGAACATCTGCACAACACAACTAACAGCTCCCAACAGGTGGTAGATAGCATGAACATCATACACAACACAACTAACAGCTCACAACAGGTGGTTGATAGCATGAACATGATACACAACTCAACTAACAGCTCACAACAGGAGGAAGATAGCATGAACATCTGTGCACAACACAACTAACAGCTCACAACAGGAGGAAGATAGCACAAACATCTATACACAACACAACTAACAGCTCACAACAGGAGGGAGATAGCATGAACATCATACACAATACAACTAACAGCTCACAACAGGTGGTAGATAGCATGAACATCTATACACAACCCAACTAACAGCTCACAACAGGTGGTAGATAGCATGAACATCATACACAACACAACTAACAGCTCACAACAGGTGGTTGATAGCATGAACATGATACACAACTCAACTAACAGCTCACAACAGGAGGGAGATAGCATGAACATACACAACTAACAGCTCACAACAGGAGGGAGATAGCATGAATATATGAACACAACACAACTAACAGCTCACAGGTGGAAGATAGCATGGACATCTGCACAACACAACTAACAGCTCCCAACAGGTGGTTGACAGCATGAACATCTGCACAACACAACTAACAGCTCACAACAGGTAGTAGATAGCATGAACATCTATACACAACACAACTAACAGCTCACAACAGGAGGGAGATAGCATGAACATCATACACAACACAACTAACAGCTCACAACAGGAGGGAGATAGCATGAACATCATACACAACACAACTAACAGCTCACAACAGGAGGGAGATAGCATGAACATCTATACACAACACATCTAACAGCTCACAACAGGTGGTAGATAGCAAGAACATCTATACACAACACAACTAACAGCTCACAACAGGAGGGAGATAGCATGAACATCATACACAACACAACTAACAGCTCAAAACAGGTGGTTGATAGCATGAACATCATACACATCCAACAGCTCACAACAGGTGCTTGATACCATGACATCTATAACACAACCATCAACTCACAACTAGTGGCATGGGCAAATACTAACAGTTGCATGTGTTGATTCAAGTCTTAAAGACCTAATATGTGAACTATGTTATAGGTTCATGCCATATCTGGCAACCAGACACACAACAGGAAAACTTCAGGAATTAAGATTTTTATCCAACATCATACTTTTGAACTGGCCCCCGTAGAGGATATAATTTCTATCAACTTCATTAACAAAGTTCTGTCAGAAAGCTCTACGAAGTTTACCTATATTGTATCTAACGGGTTATGGCCACCTTTCACAGTGCAGCCTTTTACAGCATACAGGAACTAGCTTGGGGCCCCAATTCTTAGTTCCAGGGTCCTGTTTCATAAAACATCCAAGCACTAAGTTGATCATAGCATTTATTTGCAAGGATATGAAAACACTAAGAGTGCTTTGTGAAGAGAACCCAGAAGGATATGACAATTATACTTATATGTGACCAGAAAGATATGACAATTATACTTGTAGGTGACCAGAAGGATATGAAAGTTATACCTATAGGTGACCAGAAGGATATGACAATAATACTTGAAGGTGAAACTTTTTGAATTATAAAACTCATTGAACTGATACATTGTACCAGCTAATTTCTTTTTTCTCAAATTATTTTCTTAAAATATGAAGCTGACTGCATGATTTACTGGAGATCTAATCATATTTTACGAGTGCTTCAAAAGGAGGCCGAAGGTTTCAATTGTTCTTTTGTGTTAACAGGTACTATATTTCAATGGTACCATATGTTCCTTAATTTCAAATGCATTTGATCCATTTCCATAGAAAACCTTAAGTTAAGGCAGTGAAACCCATGGTTACGGATATTGTGTTGACAGACTAAGGGTCGTTATCCGGAATTGTGTTGAAAACATCACTAAATGGATTAGATATAGTGTGTAATACGTTTACACTTAAATACACGATCACCTATAAAACTTAATTCAAGAAAATGAAAATGGGGCTCTGCGTATCCCAGTAAGGGCATTACATACAATAAAGTCTCGGGAATAGATTATATGGAATATGACGGCCTCGCTGACTATCGTTTGGATGTCCTACGCGTTGTTACTTCAACAACCAATTCATCAGAATGAATTATTTGATCCTAATTAATATTACCCTTACTCTGTATACAGGCATTCTTAACACTTCTACACGCATGCATATATGGTGAGTCTCTGTGTATGTGTGTGTGTGTGTTGTGTGTGTGTGTGTGGGGGGGGGGGGGGGGGGGGGGGGGGGGGGAGAGAGAGTCCTGTCTCAATAGGAAAGAAACAACTGTACAATGTACATGTTTGTTGTTTATCGA